CTTATTGAGCTTTGTTTAATATCCAGCTAAAAAAGTTCATTTCTAGCTCAGTTGGAACTTCAGATCTTTTGTTCTGAAACCCCTTTCTTGAGCTGCTGTGGTTTTCTTTTTTAAACAACTCATCTGGGAGACAAGGACCTGGTGCTCTCCTGTCATGTAGGTTTTCTCTGCATGGAGAGATCAGCTTTTGCATTGACAATCATAACCAAGATATAAATGCATTGTAAAATAAAGCTCTTTTTTTTTTCCTTGCAGACTGATACATGATTTGAAACATTAAAACCAGAAGATCTGAAAGTCTTCACTGTGTGCCTGATGTACATAAAATTTCTTTAGGGTTGTTTTAGAATTGCTGGAATTTTGGCAAGATTCTACAATCTCCATTTCAGACTCCTAACCTTGGCCTCATGTTTCCCAAGGATGGACTGACCTGTGGGGCTTTTATGGGGGGCTTAAATACCATTTTGAGGTTTGGAAGGAGGACATAACTAGGAATTGATATGACTGAGATAACCCAGTTAGGGGTGTCCAAAAGCTAAAAACACCCTGAAAGCAACACTCTACAGATTAGTTTCCTGTATTTTGGGAAATATTACCTGGATTGAATTTAAAAGGCTCCTTCTGAGCCTTTTTTTTTTTTTCTACAAACATGCAGTAGCTGCAAGATGAATTTTTAGTTTCAAAATAATTGTGAAGATACACTATTCTTTCAATGGCACATATGCTACAGAAGGAACAAAAACATTACTGCAAGTAAGGTTTGGCATTTCTAATTGCTTTTTAGCCTTCTCCAGCCCAATAATTTAAGTGTTAGGTTCCTGCCTGCCTTTTTGAATTTGGATACAAGGAAATAATTTTTGTGGAGATAATTTGTATCACATACTTCCCAGTGACTGCCTGATACATAAGAGGTATTTTGGCCTTTTCAGAGCATTCAGGAAAATAACTTTGTTACTGCTTGGGTGTACGTGAGAAATTTCTGGCTCTATCACCAATAGGAGTATTCAGGAGAGCCTAAATTTTCAGTTAGAGGGCAAATTAAAAATAGATAGCAATTTTAAGCTAAACTGTGCTGTAAACCTTGATATCAGTGTTCTGTTTTTAGCTTTATAAATTGTCCATGAAATGTAGAAATCCAGGGACTCACATTTTAAGTGAAATGCTACAATGGATGTTTCTCCTGGGTCACTTTCTCTTGCTGGGCAACTTTGTCCTTGGCTGTGCTTTTTGAACAAATGGCTGTAAATCACAAGTAATGCTCGTGAAACCTATGAAACACAGCAGGAGATAAATATCAAAGCTTTGCCATTGTGAAAATCGCCAATCACTTGTTTTTAAAATTTTAAATGTTTAATAGTAATAAAATTGTTATAAAAATAGCAATATAATTAGAGTAATCATAATTTTGGACAATTTGGATTAGGACAATATGAGACAATAGAGACAAAGAGTTACAGACATCTGGGTACCATTTTCTGAGCAGCACAAGCCCTAAAAAGGACACCCGTTAACAGAGGATTAACCCTTAAAAGCAATAGCCCATTGAATATTCATACATCTCATACATGATGCATAAATTCCATTCAAACACAGGCTTCTGTCTGGTCAGTGTCGACTTCTTCCTCTGAATCCTGACGGCGTCTTCATGGATGAGCAAGGCAGGAAGAAGTTTGTTTCTCCTGAAAATGGGGCGATAAATTCTCTTTCTCTGAAAGATTTAGGTGTCCTGTGGCTGTTATCTGGTGCGAGTCCTTTCCTTAAAAAAAGTATCTTATATAGCATAGTTTCTATTTTAACATTTTGTTATAACCTAAAACTATATTTAACACACTACTTAAGAAAATTAATACAACATTACTTTCTAACATAACACATAAAATATTCATTTTAATATTTGTGAAAAGCCAATCATAAAATATCTATTTTTCACAGCCATCATATTTTATTTTTGGTTTGTCTTTTCCTTTCTTTCTTAGGAAGGTGCTGCTGGAGATAAATGTCCCCAGGATGCAAAGGCATTGGTTGTACCTCACCAAAATCAAACTTTGGATTTGATTTCACTGAGACCAGCACAGCGCAGCAAAGATGGATCTGCCTCTGTGTCCATCTGCTGTAAATACACTTCCTTCTTTCTGGAAGAAATCTCCTTCCCGGAGCTGGCTTGCATCCACAGCCTCTCTCCTCGTCCCTGCAGTTCCCTGGTGTCTCGCTGCTGCTTCCGTGCAGGAAGCCCATGACAGCGAGTGTGCCGAGCCAGTGGCTGGGCAGCGCGGGCAGACGGTGCTCTGTGGTGAAAGCCAAGATGTGCCAGCCATTCTTAGCACAGAACGAGTTTGAGCCGTTCTTGTTAGCTGGCAGCAGCTGTGAGCAGGCAAGGGTGCAACAGCAGGGAAAGGAAGAATGGGAGAACAGAGCCTGTTTTCATGTGGTTTGAAGGAGTAAATGCTGTCTTTGGATGGACTTTGAGATCATCCAAATTTCAAGGGGAAAAAATGTTAAATGAAGTCAGCTGTACATCAGTGTTTGTACCTTCTTCCAAAAGAACAAGAATAGTTTAGGAAGCTAACACTACATCTATTCCACCAGCCAAAGTGTCACAGCCCTTTCCCTGACCCCAAGGGCAACCCACAGCCTGTGCCAGAGCTCCTGAAGGGCCAAGCACTGGCACAGACAGAGTCTCAGCTGTGTTTTCAGCACACAATATGTAATATGGATATACACTCCTATAGTGAAACCCGGTTATTCTGTCGCTTTGACAATGTTTGTTTCAATTCCCAATACACTTCTTCCTCTTGAGGTCCTGTTAAAAAAAGCTCCATTGCTTCAGAACTTAGGACAAGTCAGATAGAGAAACTGAGAGAAATTTACCAAGCATCTGATCTTACAGAGGGAAAAAAATAAATCAGGCTCTTTTTTTTTTTTTTTTTTTTTTTTTTTTTTGGCAGGAATGAGAGAGGCAAGAAGGGCCTGAATCTGACAAAGGTAACTTTATTTTTAAAGAGCTGATTTCTTGCACACACCTCTTACCTGCAAATTCAGGACTACTTGCAGTAGTGTCTAAAATTCCATGGTGCCTGCAATCATCGCTACTGTTGCTCAGCTAAGTGCCCAGGGAAAGCAAACATAGCCAAATTAATAGTTTGAAGTATGTGTCCATATTATTATCCATACTGTAAATAAGATCAGGAACTGTGGCTTACATAGGTCAACAGGTCTTGAGTAAAATACCAACTCCTAATTAGTGATAAAATACCAACTCCTAATTAGTGAGGGTACTTAAGACTGGTGGCTGAGTGTATCCACAGCCCAGACAGATCTGATTAGGCTCTGACCTATCCATGAACAATGTGCAGTGTGTTATTTGCTGAACATGTTCCAAACTATTTCCCACAGAAACCAGTAAAATACTATTAACATTGTTAGCAAACTTAAATATTTCTGTATTTTCTTATTATGCTTTGTAGAATAATCTGTCTCCTTATTAGGGGACACGGTCTGCAGCAGCAGAATTACAAACAGTGACAGGGGCTGCCAGACACTGCTCCTGAGCAGACATGGACTGGGCAGGGTTGGGGGGAAGATTGCTTACTGAGGTGATATGCACTGCACATGAGCCAGAGGGCCAGTTTTCTGGGGTATGTGTCAAATCAAATTTCAGAGGCTGAGTGGAAACAAGGAATGTTTTGCCTGAGGCTCTGGAGGCAGTGAAGGACTGGGGTGGATGCACACGCCCTGATAATGCTCTGTACTGGCCACCCTCGGCTGCAGTTTGGGCTCTGTCTCTGCCCATCCGTCTCTTATCACTTCAGTACATTTCTGTGCATCACCACTGCAAAGAGACAAATCTTAACAGGGCAGGGCAAGGCCCTGGATTTTCCAGGCTGTGCTGGAAGTGGTGTGGCCCATGTGTCTCTGCACAGATGGTGCAGCAGCCGAGGTGCCCTGCCTGTGCCCAGGAGGAGAGGTGAGGGATGGCCCACAAAGCACCAGGCTGTGCCCACCCAGCCTGGCCTGGGCCGGGCACACCAGCCACCAAAATGTTACAGGAAGGAGGTGATGCTGCTCCTTCCTTGGAGGTATTGTGGGGATTATTCACATCATTACTTGTCACCATAGGACACGAAACAACACGAGCACACGCACCACTGCTCTCAAGGTGAATAAAGGGGAGTTTATTTTCTGACTCCAACATTTATAGTTTTGCAAAAGTGACAGTGGATTGGAGGGTGAAAGTGCCACCTCTCCGATGACACTGGACAAACTAACAGTCTATCAAATTTCTCTTCCTCCATAAAAGAATGCAAAACAATAAGTTATTTGCAGAAAGTGTGTGAGAAATTTTGCTACAAGAATGTAAATATCAGAAGGCTTAGAAAATCTTAAAAAATCAGGGCGACATCTACTATCGCCCCATCGTTCTCATGCAGCCAGCTAAAGTCACACAGGGTTTGTAAGTTCAGTTTAAAAGACTTCAAGAAGTGTGAGTCTTTGTGTGTGTGTGCCCATACAGCACTCAGATGTTGACATGTGGGGATTGAAGCAGAGCAGGACAGGAGCAGGAGCGCAGGGATTGTGCAGATAAGGAACCACGAGAAAGATGGACAAAGAAAACGGGAGCAGAGGTGTGATCAAAACTAACTATCTATCTATCTATCTATCTATCTATCTATCTATCTATCTATCTATCTATCTATCTATCTATCTATCCATCCATCCATCCATCCATCCATCCATCCATCCATCCATCCATCCCCACAGGCACAGGCTCCCAGCTCTTCCCAGCAGCCCAGACTGTGCAGTCCCTGCCCCCGGAGCCCCCCGCGCCCCGGGCAGCGCTGCCGGGCCCGCCCTCCCTGGGGCCGCCTCCCGCTCCGCCCGCCGGGCACGGCTGTGGCCCGGCCCCGGGGCGGGGCGGCGAGTGGAGCCGCGGCCAGGTGACCTTGGCAGGCAGAGCCGGGCTGTGCCCGCCGCCGGGGAAGCTGGGTGCGGAGACGGCCGAGATGGTGGAGGACGGCGGCGAGGAGGAGGCGGAGGGAGAGAGCGGGGAGGTGCCGGCGGCGCCGCTGCAGCAGCAGCAGCAGCAGCAGCAGCGCTGCAATGGCTTCCTGCCCGGCAAGGAGGCGGCGGGCGGCGGGCAGCGGGCGGCCCCGGCGGCCGAGGAGATGCTGGCGGCGGGCGGCGAGCGGCGGGAGGCGCGGCTGGAGACGCGGCTGTCGCGGCGGCGGCTGGCGGTGCTGGCCGTGTTCAGCTGCTACTCGCTGGTGAACGCCTTCCAGTGGATCCAGTACAGCATCCTCAGCAACGTCTTCGCCGGCTTCTACGGCGTCTCCTTCACTCAGATCGACTGGCTGTCCATGGTGTACATGGTGGCCTACGTGCCGCTGATCCTGCCGGCCACCTGGCTGCTGGATGCCCGCGGGCTGCGGCTCACGGCGCTGCTGGGCGCGGGGCTCAACGCGCTGGGCGCCTGGCTCAAGTGCGGCAGCCTGGCCCCGCAGCGCTACCCGCTCACGCTGGCCGCCCAGGCCGTGTGCGCCGTGGCCCAGGTCTTCATCCTGGGGCTGCCCTCCCGCATCGCCTCCGTCTGGTTCGGCCCCACCGAGGTCTCCACCGCCTGCGCCGTGGCTGTGCTGGGCAACCAGGTAGGGCCGCAGGGGAGCTAGGGGGGGGCTTGGATAAGTGGGCTTCCTTGGAGTTCGGCATCGAGTTGGAAACGTGGTGCTCAAGTGGGAGAAGGCTTTCTGCAGGATGCGGTGTTGGGAGGGTGGCCGGATGAGGAAGCGGGGCTGTGCCGGAGCCGGGCCATGTGGCAGCGTGCGGCTCTCCCACGCTTCAGGCAGCTGCCGGCAGTACCGCAGCCGAGAGAGAACCTTTGCACAAGTGGTCCTGCTCCGCTTCCTCTTTCTCTTGCATTTTGGCGCTTGGATTCATTTGGCTGAATCCACCCCCGTTGGAGGGGTATGAACTACGTGAACTTCCATGAAGAGCCCCAACGACAACATATATTAGTTTCTGCTTTTTAAAATATGGCCTCTAATTGCCAGGTGCCAGTAGTCAATACCCTGGTGACTCCTGAAGTTTTGTGTAACGCTGTGATAGTTCACATCACTGTTGGGAGCTGATAACTGAGTCACGGATTTCCTCAAGCTCCCTGGTCCTGGCCAGTTTCAGAGAGCTGGAACAGGTGCATCTGAAAGCACAGGTGCAGGTATGATACTTTTTCCTCCTATAGCCTAATTCTCACCTCCTGCCACTGTCCCAGATTTTTTTTTTTCTCCTGTGGCAAAAAAATGGCTAAGATTCAAATCAGCATCACTGATGCAGGCTGAGGTCATAGGTACAGTTTGGTTAAGATAACGGGGGATTTGTTTTTTATCATGTGAGTCTAATGATTTTATGTTTGTGTACTTTGGATTATGACAGCAGTGGCATGCATTTTACATATTTACAGTGAGGGTGTACCTAAACCTAGCTGATTCCTCATTAGCTGATACCTGGCTGTTTGCAGTTCTTCCAAAACATTTTTTTTTTTGCATCGGAGGTTTCAAGTGGACAAGTCAACTGTCTCTTTTGGACTGAAGATTTCAGAAATTGTTGGTTGTTTCAGCAGTGAGGCAAAAATTTTGGATCTGTATCCTGGTATGAGGTTAAAGGTTTCTTTGGCAGCTAAATGTCCTCTCTTTCTGACATGCACCAGTCCTCCCAGTAGCAAGGAGTTGCCGGGTTTTCAGTTCTGCAGTAGAGTGTCAAGTATCCAGCATGGAGCCTGAAACTGATGCTTCACTGGGATGCTGAGATGTGGGGCTGAAGTGGTGCAGGACAGGAGCAGAAGAGCAGGGATTGTGTGGATGGGAGCCACGAGAAGGATGGACAAGGGAAACAGGATCAGGATGTGAACAGAATAAGCCGTGGATATTTCTGGAGCGTATTCCCCTCCAGAAGCTAGGACTGATCTCAGTGTGCCTGTTGAAGTGTGTCAATAGAACAACAGAATTTCTCTGTTCTTGCATTTTACTTCCTTAAAAAAAGCCCTAAAAACTCTCAAAAGCTAGATTGAAAGAGTAGCAAGAATTTAGGCCCTTGGAAGTTAGAAGTAATGTCTGTGTATCCCACTGCAGTTCCCTTCTGCACAGGCATTCCTGCTGGGTCTCCCTGTCCTGATAAGGCACAACGTGAACTGTGTAACAGAACACCACTCACTGTACCGGGCAATTGCACAACCTGAACTGTGTCATAGAACAGGTTGCTATAACCCACCCAGCTGCCGGTCATCCAATTTCTTATCAGATTGCTTATCACACGGCTTCAGATTGTGTGAAGCTGCAGGGCTACAGCAGCTGGCAGGGCAGGGACAGCAGGCAGGGGAGGAACAGAGCAGTTATCAAAATTTAGACCTCACTCCTTTGGGATGCTGATCGTTTGCAGCTGGAACACAAATCACTGTGATGTACCTGTCAAGGGTTGTTTGGAGTGCCAGATCTCCACAAGTATTTACCATCTTAAATGAGGCATGCCAAACTCATTGGAACACTTTATTCTGGCCTTAACCTCTCTAGATGTAAATGATGGGAAATGGTATCACTCGACTTTGTTGGAACATTGTGGATACTGCACTGGCTCCTCTTGGGGGAGGAAAAAACATCCCTAAAGGCAAAAAGTAACTATGTGCTCAGTTCGTGTTTGTAGGGTTCATATAATGAAGAGTGAGGACAAAAGGAGACAAATTCTTCCTGGGACCACTGGATACTGTGTCAATATGATGGCCTGGGGGAAAAAAGGTAGCAAAACCCTCATCAGGGTATGCACAAAGGGTGTTTAGTAAGCATAGTGGCACACCTCTAATGTGTGTGCTTTCTGATTGTTGGACTTGCTACTCTAACAGTCTTTGGTGCTCTTTTTTCATTTAATTTTACCTAAAATAAATGTTCCAACACTTTAAAATGCCGCTAAGTTTTGGGGGAGCAGAAGAGGGAAATTGGAGAATAGTTCAGGACGTGTTCCTTCATGTTTAAAAATATTTTACATATGTACCCAAAATTTCAGTCCCCATTTTATGTCTCTTTAATGCAAAATCAGTTGTTATGTTGGAATTTACTCTACACACAAACCCACTACTACTTCATTCTGTGATTTTCATTTATTTCCTTAGCAATAATTGTTGAGTTTGGTCTTAATAAGGATATTCCTTTTCTCTGCTCTATATGTGCTTCAGTGAACCTTGCAGTCAGGCTTTGCTGTAGTGGCAGAAGCATGACATCAAATGAAGAACATTTCTGCAAGAGTAGCTGGAATCTTGTGTCATCTGTAGCCCTTCACTTGCAGGATGACTGATACAAATTTATGTTCATGCATGGTGTTTTCACTTCCTGTGAAAGGTTCTTGTATATGTATGAAGATTCTTGTACAAGTACTATGTGTACTGTAAATATATACACTAAGTGTGGTAGTGTAGTTCAATTGAGAAGTGAAAAGGTTAAACCTGAGTTAAAGAAGATCTGGTTGTAAAACAACATCGAGAACAAGTGGCTCAGAAGTGTGATACTAAAGTTTTGTTAATGCTTATTATGATAACAATTCTGAATTCTACCTGGTAAGACTTTTCACTTCTGTTGATTTCTATGTTCAGAGGGAAATTATTTTTGTTTTTTTTTCTCCTTGCTTTCCAGCTTGGTACTGCAATTGGCTTCTTGTTGCCACCTGTTTTGGTCCCAAATACGCCGAATGATATTGATCTTATGGCACACAACATCAGCATCATGTTCTACGGAACAGCGATAGTGTCCACACTTCTGTTCTTCTTAGCAGGAGTTGGTAAGTCTTTAAATTACTGGGATTTATGTGCTGGCTACAGGGGGTGTTTACAATGTCTCACGTTAAAGCAGCTGACTCCTCAAAGTAGTTGAGGTCACAATTTTTCCAGTTTGTGTTCACTCACCTGTTGTGCCAGGGTTAAGCAACAGCCATTTCACTCTATGTTGTGCTTCACATGGGGTGATTTCTTTCAGAATATTTAGTTCTCTTAGTTTCTTTGCTGCAAGGACTTATTATATAATGTGAATTCACTCTGTTAATCTTACAATTTGTATACAAAGGTCCTGACGTATTGCAGATGAAGTCTGTCTTTCACCATATTTTGGTAGGAATCATATGTCACCAGATAACACATCCTTTGTGGATGTGACTCACTTCTTCCATGAGAAAGCCTAGAAATTTTTTTCATGGAGTTGTTAAAACTGCATGTCACTCTTCTGGAATTCATCAAGCTGAAACACTTCCAAAAAAAAAAAAAAAAAGCCCCAAAAAAACCTGCACATTAGTTTGGTAGAGATGAATCAAAAATTGTTCCTTCTGTTTTTTCCCCAGTGTTTGAAGAAAAGCCCAAATACCCTCCCAGTCACTCTCAAGCAGTCCTGCAAACTAAACCTCCTGAGGATTACTCCTACAAACAGTCCATTATTAACTTGTTCAGAAATATTCCATTTATACTTTTGCTAATCAGTTATGGTAAGTGGTGCTATCTGCTTGTAGTCTGGCAGAAAGGTTCAAATGTAGCCCAGAAGCATGTAGAATTTTAACTGTGGGGGTTTTTTTAATGGGGGAGGGGGTGTCAAACTTTTATTTACTCAGGTGCCAGGGCTGTAAGGATAAAAAATATCACTTATAGGTCCAGTGATCTGGCTTATGTGCCAGATTTTACCTGGCACATAAAAGGTTTTGTGTTGTGAGTCTTAAATGTCATAAGATGAATTCTTTAGGGTAAAAAATCAGCATGGCTGCACCTGGAATGACTGAAGCTTTTTTCTTGGTACTGCAGGTATTATGACTGGGGCATTTTACTCTGTCTCCACATTATTAAACCAGATGATAGTAACTCATTATGAGGTAAGTTTCTTGGATCTTATCTTTCTCTTTTTCACCGTACATTTGCAGAGGTGATATTTATTTTGTAGGTGCTATGTGTGCTCAGACATTTGGTTTCTTTTATACCACTGTACAGTTTCTTGTGCCATACAGCTGTGGGAGTCATAGGAATGTTTGTTTGCACTTATGACTGCCAAGAGGTCTGAACTTGACTCTGAATGGAAGCAATTATTAATGAGCACCATATAAATATTTGTTGAAAGGGAGAAGAAGTGAACGCTGGGAGAATTGGCTTGACACTGGTGGTGGCAGGAATGGTGGGTTCGATTATTTGTGGTTTGTGGCTGGATTACACTAAAACATACAAGTAAGTGTGGGTAGGCATGTGTGGGGCTAGGGGTAGGAGAGTGGCGCAATTGCATTAGGAAAATACTCACCATAAGGGCTGAAATGATCTGCTGATGAAATGCAGTTGGTCCCTGATCTTTTAGTGGCCTTGAGGGAGAGAAGTTTCTGTGGCTACAGCGAAAGCTTGAGACTCTTACTGGTTATTGGCCAAAAGAAATGAGGGAGCACAATGCAAAGGGATTTGTCATCTTCTCCTGTCTCTTTAGGACTGTAAGGAAAGCACTGTAGGTCCTACATACAGTGGCCAGGTGGCCCAGTGGGCTTCTTCTCCTAGGAAAGCATAAAGTCTCAAAGCCTGCCCTGCATTGTTTTGTAAAATGGCCAGTTGATGGATTCTCAACTTTTTTATGCTACTCCTGATCCTATTAGTAAGTGTAATGTTTGCTTTAATTCAGGGGATGACCATGGAGCAGAGCTCTCTTCTGGGGTAGGAGCTCCTGGGTCTATCATCCAGGAGCGAGCACTGCCCTGGAGCACTGTTTGTGATGGAATAGTACTCCCCTGTGACTCTTAGTACATTATGTGCCTCTACAAGCCTAATGGATGTTAATGCTGTAGATTGGCTTTGTTTCTGCATGTGTTTTGGCTTACAAATATGTGCTTTAAGAATTTGGAAGACATCCCTTCTTCCAGATTGAAAATAAATAGAACACTGTAATGAGATTTGTTTGACTTGCCTCTTGTAGGCTGACTTTTATTGCTAATAGTGTTGGACTCAGCTGCTCCTGTGTTGATGTATCGTGTAATGGGCAGCAGTGCAGAATGGCCAAGAGGTACAGCATAGCAGAGAACTAAAATAGTCTTAAGGTAGTAGTATGTGCTGTGATTGTCCATTCTTTGAGAGTTTGAGTCAGTATCCTTAGCCTGGAATGAAGCAGCCAGACACTGAAGGGTTCAGGAATGGATATGTGCTCACTGCATGCTAAGTTTGAGGCAGAATTACATGGAACAAATTTTATAGCTTTAGAATGGCTTATGTAATGTTCGTGTTATCCTTCCATGCTTCAGCAATGTGCTATGGCCTTCTATGAACAATGTTAATTTGTTGTTGTTGTTGTTGGGTTGCAGGCAAACTACTTTGATTGTTTACATTCTCTCTTTCATTGGGTTGCTGGTATTTACCTTCACCCTGGACCTCGGATACCTTATAGTGGTGTTTGTGACTGGAGGAGTGCTTGGGTGAGCAATTAAAGAGCACTACAAGACTTACTGCAGTTCTCTTCTGAAACATATTTAAATATTTTACCTAGATAATTCTGTGTATTCTGTCACCATGGTCTCAGCCTTTAGCTCACAGTACAGATATGGTTTCTCCTTCTGAAAAGTAAGCTAAAGTAACTTACTTTTCAGTAAATTTCATTTACCAATTTATGGACCTAAGAGAGGTCCTATGTAATCAGTTTGTTTGGTTCCAATTCAAAAAGCTGTGTGCAGTGAAGTTGAAGCTTTCTCTTGAGCAGTGTGTAGGTGATTAGAGTTTGAGCAGATCTAGGAAGACTGGCTTCTCTGCATTTTCATTAATCTCTACTTTGATAGCCCAAGCAACATGCTGGTCCCTTTGTGTGCTGTGCTCATAGATACCCAATCTAAAGGCCTCAAGAGGTGCTGAGGGAATGTTGCTGTATTCAGACACAGAAGTCAAGACGAAACCAGAAATGTCTTGAGAGTTTCAGTTTAAAAACCAAACAACCAACCTCAGCTGCATTTTAAGCCTTTTCTCTTCCCATCATTCATGGGTCCTCTCAGCTTCTTCCATAGCAGCTTCCAGCAGGTGTTCAAGTGTACAGCCTCACTCCCTACTCATGGCCTCTTTTTGTCCTCCAGCATGGATATTTGGGCTGATCAAATGATGCTTGTGCATGGCTTTCATATGAAAGTAATTGACTTCAAGTATGGAGTGGCTTGCAGACTTCTTTGCAAAGGTTGTTTCATATGTATGGGGTTATGGGAAATAGGACAAACATATTTTAGCAGCTTTGCCTTAAAGAGAAAGATGTGTGGCTAAAATTCTCGGATCATGCTGAGGGAATGAAGCAGTCACTATTATTTGGAATTACTGAATTCTGTTAAGTCGTGAACACATGACAATTCAGAATACCAGCTAATTCATAACACCATGTGTATATGTTAGGTTTTCTTAGCTGTAGTAACAGATGAAGGCCACACCTGTCATCCTCTTACTCTCCTCTTCAACAGGTTCTTCATGACTGGCTATCTTCCACTTGGGTTTGAATTTGCTGTGGAAATTACATATCCAGAGTCTGAAGGCACTTCCTCAGGTCTCCTTAATGCATCAGCACAGGTTACAGCATTTTATTTCTTCAAGTGAAGTAATGTTCAGAAATGCCACTATGCTCAAGTCTAGGAAAGCTTAAGATTTGATTTCTATAAGGTGTGACCTGGAACTTTTAAAGGTAAAATGATGACTCTTTTTCTGTGTGATCCTGATGAAGTTACTTGTTTGTTTATAGATATTTGGAATTATCTTTACACTTGTTCAAGGAAAGCTCACAACAGACTACAGTCCTCGTGCAGGAAACATCTTTCTTTGTGCTTGGATTTTTGTGGGCATTATTTTAACAGGTAATTACAAGTGCAAGTAATAGCTTCTCTTTAATGTAAAAACTTAGGTGTTTTTAGGACAATGTTGCTAATATATGGACACCCATCTGACCCCCATTTCCTGAGACATGTCTTGAATTTGAGACAGATGTCCATCTCCAGAGCAGGGTGAGAAATAGAAACAAATGCACAAATGGAGGCAGTTTGCAGTTTTCCAAATGCAAGAAATTGCTGATGCACTCTGGAGCTGTGCCAGTGTTTATACATGTTGACTCACAAATGTGCTGAAAGTGCTGAACTATCAAGCTTTTCTTTAAGTGCTTGTGGTTTAAAAGATTTTATTGTCATTGCCTGCTTTGTGTGCTTTGTGAGGAGCAAGTTCAAATTATCAGTGAGTTCAAATTGCAAAGAAAAAATAGGGGTATTTTGAAAATGTGCTGAAAGCAGCCTCTGTGTGCTTGCACCCTGCAAACATTTCCCTTGAATTGCATGTCACTGCAAAGTTGTGAATCAGCTTTCCTTTTTCCTTCTTTTCTCAGCCTTAATAAAATCAGATTTGCGAAGACACAATGTGAATTCAGGGATTATGAACTTGGACGTTAAAGCTGTAAGTGGTGACTCTTTTACCATCCTACTGGAATGCTTGACTTCTACTGGCAGAACAATAGCAGCTGCAAAAGAGTACTTGACAAAGTCTTATGACTGGTTCCATGTTGGTTTTGAACAACAGAGCCACATGGGATGCTGCTCTCACATATCTATTTTTCTCCTTAACTCCCATGAAAAAAACTGAAAAAACTTCTGCTCTCAGATTTTTTTTAAATTTTTTGAATATTTGAATTTTAAGTGGCTAATAATATTATGTTATTGCTTGAATCTTGCTTTATCATAATAGCAGGGAAGCATTTTAAACTGTGAAGCCTTTTTGTTTATTGGGTTGTGAGGCCATCCTATCGACTATGTATGTTATTTAAAATACCTGCAGTCTCTTCAGATGAAGTCAGTGTCTAAACAGAAGCCATGCTGGAGTTTCTATGCAGTGCTGCATAAATAGCTGGGTTTGTTCCTCTGCTGACACTCTCAGTTTAAAGGAAGAGTGAGCATAGCATTTTCTGATGATCACAGGGCTCCATTTTTCAGCAGCTTTTCCAAACTACGACATTTATTAGTAGAAATAAAGCTCTCAGTGGAAAATTTTTTCAAAATTTGCTGTGGGTTTTTCATTGCTTGGATCAAGATATGAGACAGCTTTTTGGAGTCAGACATCACAAGATACTCTGCCATGCTTATTTTTGTGTAGGCATCTTGCATGCCCAGCAGCTTTTGATGATCTGTGACCAACTGCACGCTCTTAGTGTCTGTATGAGGTTCAGAAACTTTGAGCTGGTGCTGTCTGAGCTAACTTGAACCTGAAACCTGCTGGCAGCTGCGGGTGCTCAGTGTGGCATCCTGTGGGTTTCCCAGCCGGGGTTGGGGCTGTTCATGACTTATCTGCTTTCCATTATCACCTCGTTAATTAGCCGAGATCGTCACAGCTTCATTCATATTAGCCAGGGTGTAAGAAAAGCTCCAGTCCTTGCCCTGATGCTGCCATGCATGATTGAGACCTGGCTGTGTTAATAATGTTCAGTATCACTTTGATACTGAACCTTGATCAAGATTCTACTGTGGTTAAATGTAACAGGGAAAAAAATGGGAAGTTAATCTTCATGTGACAGATACTTATATGCAGTAAATATATATGGGAGTTATACTAAGAAAATAAATTCTATGTTTGGGCTCTCTTCTTTTATTACAAAAAGAATATAGGGTTTTATATATTATGCTTAACTGGGCTAATTAACTACATCTACTGTTGGAGCCTAACCTAATAATTACCCAAGAATACTGTGTTACAGAATAATTCTGTTGAATAACAGCCTAATTCCTGTTGTGTTTTTACTTTTTTATCTCCCTCTTCAGGTACCAGTTGACAGTCCTGTAGAACCTGAAAGCACTACATTAAAGATTCAGTCAGCTTTATGAAGCTGAAGGAAGGTGACTCAGAAATGCACAAGTTTGGTTAGATATGGAATGATATGAGCTAGTGTAATCACTGGATTTGTGTGTATGAGTAGTGACATGTGTTTGTTGATATTGGTGGTAGTTGTGTACTGGAAGATGCTCAGTTCATTTTGCTCAAGATGCAAAGAATTCACCTTTGTATGGAATATTTATTTTAACATTTTCAAGTCTTGCAGTTTCATTAGTAAAGAACTGTGTGAACACTCTCCACAATAGGGAGATGTGCATTCAGGATGCATACTTGAAAAAAATCAGGAGTCTTGAAACACAGTTGATCAGAAGTATCTAATCTTCTTTTCTTGTTCAGTCTTGCTGGTGCATTTGAAAAGTCATAGAGTAGGGAAATGCACAGCAGGAGGATGTTCACGAGTTCATTTTTTATTTTAAATCTATCTGTATTTGAATATAAGCCAATGATTCCTTCTGGGAAAGTGATAGCACAATACTGAAAACGAGAGATGACGTGTGTGTTTCATACTGGCACCTGACATTCCTTTTGCCTTGAAACTTCTTTATAGGTATCAAAAGGCAGATAAGAGAAAACACTGTTTTTGCTATAGCTTCATTGTAGCATTTCTGGGGAGATTCAAAAAGTTTCTCACTAGATAAATTGGAGAAAAAACATTTCTTATTAAATACAGTAAAAAGGAGGACAAAGGCCTTTGATATCTCTGTTATGAAATATTTATAAGCAATGGAACACTACCACACAAGTTTCCTCCACGGAATATTTTGAGTGCTTTCTCATTTAAAGAGAGAGGAGTACGTGTTTACAAAGAGCCAGTGCCTTTACTTTGTAAAGAAGATCCCTGCCTCATCTTGAGTTTAATCAGTGCTGCTGAAGAAATTCCATTTTGTGTGTTAAACCTCTGAATATTTGTGGAGTATCAGAAAACATGTTCTGTCCTTTTTATGAATTGTATCACTTGTCTCATGTGAAATTCCTGTACTTGTGTAACTTAAATAATGTTTTTGCAGTTAGTTAAAAGCTGTAAGGATGACTGAAAAGAAAATAGTGATATTTTCACTATTTCTGATCAAATATTTTCTTTTATGCCATTTTAGCTGCAAAATGAGCAGACATTATTAACAGTAACTTTTTGTTACTTCATTTATCTGTACTTGGGATGGGGGTTCTTCAGTTCAGTGCTTTTGAAAATTTTCTCCTTTACCTTGTGCTCTATCTACACACCCACAGAACTGATAGCACTACAATAATACTATTGCTGGGAGTCAGACCTGGGTCAGTGGACTTTTTGGAAATATTTAATTTTTAGCTCAGCAAACTGAGCTTGCAAGTCAGTGGCATCAATGATGCTGTGTCTCTGAGTTCCCACAGTTGCAATGCCATCCAGAAGGTGCAATCCTGCTCCAAGTTTTCCACAGGTTGTTACGGTTAGGGATGGGGAATTATTTAACTCTGTGCTGGTTTCAGCTGGGCTAGTTAATCTTCTTCACAGTGGCTGGCATGGGGCTGTGTTTTGGATTTGTGCTGAACACAGGGCTGGTAATACAGAGATGTTTTATCCTTGCTGAGCAGGGCTCACACGGAGCCAAGGCCTTTTCCGCTTTTCATGCGTCAGAAAAGGTGAGGAAGTTGGGAGTGCCTGGGAGGTTGGGAGGAGACACAGCCAGGACAGGTGACCCCAGCTGACCAGAGGGATACTCCAGACCATGTGACATCATGCTCAGTGTATACACTGGGGGGTAGAAGGAGGAAGGGAGGGATGTATGGAGTGATGGTGTTTTCTTCCCAAGCAGCCATTGCACTTGGTGGGGATGGCTGAGTACCTGCCTGCCCATGGGAAGCAGTAAATTAATTCCTTGTTTTTCTTTCCTTGTGTTTGGCTTCTGCTTTCCCTATGAAGCTGCCTTTATCTCATCCCATGAGTTTTCCAGCTTTTACCCTTCTGATTCCATCCTCAATCCCACTGCTGGGGAAGGGAGGGAGCAAGTGGCTGTGTGGGGCTTGGTGGATGGCTGGGGTTAAACAACAACAAACTCCAAGATAGTCTCTAAGAAATATAATTAAAAGATTTTCTTTTTTTTATTTTGCTGTAGACTCAGGAAAAGCCTTTTGTAAAAAAAGGGCCCTGAAAACTTATCTTCCTAAGCTTAGCCTCTAAATGTGATGATCTTGATTTAAAACATTTTGTATGACAAATGCTTTAGACAGGAGAAGACCTATCAGAATAAACTAAGCACACTTGGAACACTTGCCCTGCCAAAAAGGGTTCATGTCTCTTTGCCAGGTCCAGTGCTAAGGAGAAAATGGCCAGGCCTTGCTGCTCCTGGAGAGGTGAACTCTAGAAGAGTCCACTGCTGAAGCAGCTGAATATAGGAAAAGTCACTCTTTGATTCTTGGCTATTCAAATGGCAGGCAAGGATATAGGAGTGAAAGGAAAGATGCTTTCATTATGTCATGAAAGACATAAATGAAATGAAAGTAGAGATGCTTACATTATATCATCGAAGAGATGCTTTCATTATTCATTTACATTGAAGCTGCCCCATCAAGGGATGTACAGGTTTTCAGCCTGAATGAGAAAAGTGAAAGTTTCAGCCTTCTGACATAAGTGGGTGGCCTTTCCCTTTGGAAAAATGATAATAACATGTGCCAATATATATATATGTTTTTCATCAAGATACAGAAAATATTTATGTTCATGGCCCATGCATGGTTGCTTTGAATTTTGGTGTTGCAAAATCTTAACAAGATAATATTTTTATAGTTTTGGGGAATTGTTTTCAAATGTCCAGTAGAAAGTCTTTTGTGGTATCCAGGATTTTTGCTGACCTGTTCAGTATACATTGTTAAAAATAAAAGATTGAGTATTTTTGTTCCATTCTTAAAATTTATTTTTTCAATTCCTTTCTTCACTGCTTGTTTCCAGTTTCAGCTATGTTCAGCTGATTATTGAAAAAAATATTCTAGTTCTGGCTCTTTGTATTTTTTATCTTCTGCCAAATTACTTGGCTACCTTTTGAAAAGGTTAAAAGAAGATTTTGGCTGGCTGGAAACCCTGCTGGGTCCCTGAAAAGAAAATATTCCTAATAATGAAGGCTTAATTACATCCTGGATTTAATATTCCCCTTCTAAAAGGAGCTTGAAAGTTGGAAACCTATGAGCTATTTTCAGGCAATGATAAAGTATTTAGATGTAAGGCTCAGCAGCAGAATAAAGAGCAAATAAAGAGCAAATCAGTATTTTCTATGCAATAGTCTTATAATCTGTCAAGAAATTGAGGTTCTAGCTCATGGCAGAAATAAATTAGGAATAGTTGAGGCTTCGTGGTTTTTGCTTTTAATTTTTGGGTTTTAGCAGAAAACATCCACTCAATCAAACATAGAATCACAGAATGTTAAGAGGTTGGAAGGGACCTTAAAGATCATCTGGTCCCAACCCACTTGCTATGGGCAGGGTCACCTCCCACTGGACCAGGCTGCTCAAGGCTCTATCCAGCCTGGCCTTGGACACTGCCAGGGTTGGGGTGTTCACAACCTGCCTGGGCAACCTGTTCCAGTGCCTTGCCATCCTCACAGTAAAAAATTTGTTCCTGATACCTAAATTAAATTCCCTCTCTTTCAGTTTGTACCCATTTCCTCTTGTCCTATCACTACAATTCCTTACAGAGTCCCTCCCACTTCGATGTAGTCTCTCTTCAGATACTGGAAGGTTGCTATGAGTTCTCTGAGCAACCTTCTTAGCCTGGAAATTCCACATGCATTTGGAATTGCAAATAGGGTTTCTGATTCTTAGCCTTCAGATCCTGGCTCAGCCCTCCAGCAAGAGTACAGTTGGGGGCTAAAAATCCTAGCTGCTTAAAAAAAGCAATTGTATAATGAATGGATTGTATAAAAAAAGTAATTGTATAATGAATGGAATTGCACATCAGCTAGGAAAGGATGGTGTAAGAAACCAAGTGAGAACAGGCATCCCAGTCCCATGCATCAACTTTTGCTTTTCAATTTGCTTTTTTTCTGAGTGTTTCAGGAGAGCTCTGGAGGGTGCAAGAGAACACACACGAGGCACACAGTAGGGAACATAAACAAGGGGACTGCCCCCAAGTTCCCAGGAGCCCAGCAGGTTGTGCAATTGATAACTTTCAGCTACAAAATTCAGAGATTAGCATTAATATTAGTTCTTACCTTTGTGTTTCTTCCCAGCCACGTTAAACTTTTGGTAATTTCAGTGGAAGAGACTCAGAGAACATTGACACATTTTTATTTAGGATTCCTGCCACGGCCTTAAACCCCTCGTTTCTCTTGGCTGGGTGTGAAAATACCAGACCTGTAGGATGGAGTCTAGAATTGCTGGTAGGTAAGTCCCTCAGAACAAGTATTTGTAGATGGGTGCTTGTCTTTAGTAACATCTCTTTCTGTTGCTAAATGCCCATGGTTTATGAGGAAGAAAGAACAAGGGAAGAAGTAGCAACAATACATATGAATAATTTCAGATTAATAGTGATGCCTTGAGAGGCTACCTAGAACAGAGGCTAGACAGTGTAAAAGGAATAAAGTAGGTATTTGTTAAAAAGGCCTTCAAAGGAAAAACCTTGGGCAGTACAAGAGCCCAGCCAGGGCTACACCCAAGATGGGTGATGGGTCACATGTTTTCACACTTTTATAAGTTTTGGTCCATTTACATTTTGGGGTTGATTATCCAATTACAGCTTCAGGTTATGAAGTCCCATCCTCCCAGATTGCTCTCCTCAATTCACTGTTGGTTATGCTTTTTGGGTCTGAAGGTGCAATGGTGTCCTTGGTTTTCAAGCTGGAAAAGGATTGTTTGTCAAACTAAACTGTGAAGAGAATTTGCTAACACTTTATAAGAACTTCATAGTTATACACTAATGCAGTACAGAATCTGGAAAATATGAAAGCTAAAACTCAAGACATCAACAGGGCTTTTCTAACTTCAGACTCATGGTTATCTCTTTTGTTCAAAGGAGTCTGTTATTTCAGAGACAATCAGTGGAGTGTGTAATTAGAGCTGCCAGCCCATGTTGCCTAATGAAAAAATGTTTTTTTGAGAAATATTTGTACTACCTTGTGCATCTACAACCAAGTGAAATTTGGTTAAGCTGTAAACATTTATTGTTTTCCTTTTCCATTTTGTGAACTCACTAGTTTTTCTGTGTGAATGGGAGTGTGTGACCTTTACAGTTGCTGTCTCTCAATACATGTATGTACCTCTTTCTCAACTGTAACAGGCTATTGATGTTTCATGGAGCACAAGCTGTCATTGTACACAGTAATGTGTGATTGCCCCAGCCCCACCATTAGGTCTGAATTCTGTGAAGAGGGAGAAGTGATGTTAATGCAGGAACTGGAATGAATTAAGCAAAAAAATTTCCTAAGAGAAATGTATTTCTGTGTAAGACCCATGTTATTTACTGCTCATGCCTTTGTTCTACTCATGAAGATAACAAATGTCTTTTGCTGTAATATTTTGGTTTTGTTAGTATCCAATTCTTTATTTCAAGAGAAAATTAAAAGTTCTTAATGAATATTCTCTGATTGCAATACTGTATGTATGTGTATATGTGGATGCCATCATTCCTTACCATTCTATGTTACTAAAAAAGTGTATAATGCCTAAATTGATTGGAGCCAAGAGTAACATTTTTGACAGCTGGTAATAAAGCTGCTAATCTAAAAGTGATTTTTTTTTCCCTTAGAACCTGCTTTTTAA